CTACAAAGGAAAAGGACAATTGTTTTCTCTTGCGAGATGAAAAATTTGCTTTCGTCAGAGAAAGAAGAGGAGATGGCATTGTGGTATGTGATGTCCTGCACCAGCGTTACACATCACCGTTGTTTGAGAAGCCGTGCAACTCCAAACTTCTCAATATAGTGTACACAAGAAATGGGCAAGGCAGGATGAAAAGACGACAACTGCTTGAAACGGATCTGTTCCGCAAGGTGGCCTGCCTCCCTCATGAAAATAGTGGTTCTGTCCTCATACCTCTCCTCCATGGTATAGAACACAGAATTTGAAGGTTGGCAAGTTTAATTAAAATCTTAATTAACCTCTGTGAAAGGGATGGCCAAATTTGGTCCTGGAGAGCCACAGTCCTGCAGAGTTTTGCTCCAACCTTAATAAAAACTCACCTGCCTGTAGCTTTGTAGTAACTCTTAGACCTTGACTAGCTTGTTCAGGTGTGTTTGATTAGGGTTGGAGCTTAGTCTGCAAGACTGTGGCTCTCCAGGACTGACGTTGGCCACCTCTGCTCTATGTAGATGTGTCCAATGTTTGATATTGGAGCAGACCGTGCACAAAACACAGCCAATCAGCAATAAGGAGTGTATATACTCACGATGATGCAGTGTGTGGGGGGAGGAGACAGCTCAGCTCAGTAAAGACAGAGACAAGAGAGATGAATATACTCTGTCTTGTGACATATTCGCTTGTTTGTTCATTTGTTTGGAGCTGTCAAGATGGGTGTGATCCTTTTGGGTAATGTGCTTGTTTGTTTTGGTGATTTCAAATATCAACAGCGTTTCTCAGAAATCACTGAGTGTACCTATAAGTACACAGTATAAGTGAGCGTACTGATGATGAGTATTGACAATCCAATATGTATTATTTATTTCTGGTGGCATTTGTGTTTGTTTGTTTGTTTGTTTGTAGTAGTTTCATAAAAAAATGTAGGGTGAAAACATGCTAACACTTTATGAATGTGTTTTACTTGCCAGATCATGTATGCCAGAGCTGTGTGGGTGGAGCATGGTAAAGAAGTGGAGGGAACTGCGCCAGACAACTGGATTGATGCTGAAAAAAAAATAATTAGATGGCCAAAAAAAGGGGAAAAGGCAGCTTTCCTCAATCGGCACTCCCCTCAGGATGACTGGATGACGTTCACCTTGGTGAAGCGTAAAATGACCTCCAGTAAGTTTTTGTTAACGATTTAATTAGATTCTTTGCTCTTTGTCAAAATAAAAATTGTAAGGCAGCCAAATGAGAAAAATCAAGTCAAACTTACATGTGCTCCAATGGGGAGCTGTATCGGTCAAGCACCCTTAGTCAAAGTGCTAGTAGTAAAGTCATTTTTATTGTAATTGTATTGTCTGTCATTTTTACTTTACAGTTAGCATTCGTGAATGCGATGATTATGACATGACGAGTCATGTTGAGGAGGAAGAGGAGGAAGATGAGGAAGCAGTTCGGAGGAAAAAGACCAAACGCAACTTTGATGACTATATTCTTGGTATGTTTGTATGATAATTGTTGAATCTGTCTTGAGAATCAACGTCTATACACTAAATTATTATGGGGCCCTCAAGTTTCAGGTCACTTTTTTAACTGATAATTAGTGCATGTTATAAAAGATATTAATTTGTACAATTGCAGAATCTGACGATTTGGAGGAGGAAGAAGAGAACATGACAGGTAACGGTTTCCTAAGCTTGCTGACATTGCACACCTAAGTAGTTCTTATAGAATTGCAAAGTTATACGATTACAAAGTTAAAGCTCATTATTTTTACGACTGATGCTTCCATTTAATTTATGTACTGCATCTGTCTAGATGCCATTATGCCCTTCTTTCCCATTCCACCAACAAAGGTGACAAAGTCCATCCAGATGGAGTCTGCTGGAGTTAACAAAAAGTCCACTGGTACTTAGTATCCATTACTTGAATCTACTAATTTCTTTCATATTTTTTTCTTGCATAATTTTAACATGATGGTGGTTACGAAATCGTTGTTAATGTACATTTGCAAATTTTCAGACTCTGGACACTCAAATTTTGCCAGGTCTCACCAGACTGGTGTTGGGTCCAGGGACAGGTCCACAGGCAGTTAGTAATCATCATATTAAACAGTCACCTCAAATACCAACTAATTTTATCAACCACAAAACATTTAATCAACCACATTTTGTGTGAATACAGTTGAAGGATTTTTTTAAATTAACTCAGTGTTTTGTTTTTCAGACCCTGGACATTTAAATGTAAACCGAGCCAGTCAGTTGAGGGGTGCTGGGTCCAGTCATCAGTCCAGCCACAGTGATGTATCCCAGCACAGTGACGGGTCCCAGCACAGCAAACGGTACCGACACAGGAAGCAGTCCAGGCACAGCGACAGGTCCAGGGACAGCAGCCAGATGGGACAAGGCAAGCAGTCCAGGCACAGCAATTTGTCCAAGGACAGTATTCATTCAAACCCTTATGCAGTTCACAGAGGCAAGAACGTAAATGTTCTAAAGTAGTGGCAGTGTTAACGAACCAGTCACCTCGAATACCAAGTCATTTTATCAACCACAAACTAGGGATGCACCGATCCGATACTGGCATTTTCTGCCAGATCAGGTAACAGTCACAGGCAGGGCTCCAGACTGCGACTAAAACGGTCGCATTTGCGACCAAAAACATTAATTTGCGAGTGAAGTTTTTGCTGAGGTCGCCACTGGCAACTATATATATTTACATGTTATGACTTAAACATTTGTATGTAATGCCTTTTTTCCTGATTGTTTTGCGATCACATCTTTTGTTATGTTCACGTATTAAACTGAGACGATGCGCATCAAAGTTAACAATTCTCGTTTATAATCATTAATAATATGGCTTCTTCTTAACAAGATATTAGTCTATGCTGTGTTCTGTTAATGCGTGAACTTCATTATTTGAAGCGCAGCGTGCCGTCCAGTAATCGCAAAAAGCTTTGTGCTTTGTTACTTTTTAATAAACAAATGATCAGCTTTAAAATTATTCAAAATTCATAACGAAATTCAAACAAAAGAAGTGTCTTATTTCGTTCACAACTTTCGCGAACAAACTACAACGGGTAGAGCTGTCAGCTGTGTGGATGACAATATCGTTAACAATTCTCTTATAAGCATTACTATTATGGCTTATTTCTTATCAAGATCTTAGTCTATGCTGTATTAATGCGTGAACTTCTTATTATTTAAGTCGCACTTGCCATCCAGTAATCACAAAAAGCTTTGTGCTTTGTTACTTTTTATTAAAGTATCAGCTTTAAAATTACGCCAAATTCAAAATGAAATTCAAACAATAAATATGTTTTTTTGCACTCTTTAATGCGGC